TTCGCCATGAGCATGTGGGGACCCCCCCCCCACGCTCCTCTGGGACACCCCATCTGCCCCAGCATTGTGGCATTCACAAGCCATGCTGGTACCTTGAGGTATGTAGAAAAAAATTTAAAGCTATGTCCATGTCCAAATCAGCATCAAATCTTCAGATTCAGCCGAATCAAAAATCGGGGACAGTGATCTGAATTAACAAATCAAATCACTGTCCCCGATTCGGGCCGGATCCGAACCCAATAGGGCCTGTTTCGCACACCCCAAAATACAGTATATACTAAGTCTCCTTTCTGGCTATTAGACATTCCAATTCTGAGATACAATTGCAATATGACATATGGAGGAAATGAACTAAGGAACACCACTTGTCTATTCAACCTGTATTAACACTTTATGTAATTTCACAAGTGTAATTGATCTTGTTTCTTAGCTTATGTCAAGAGCTAAACAAAAATTCATTTTAAAAGCAACTCATTATCATCTTGGTCAAATTCATTTATGTTTGAATTTCATACAGCAGGGGTCAGCAGGCTTTTTCCACCATGGGGCGCTCTTTGCAACTCAACCCCAACAACGGGCCACAAGTCTCTACCCTCCCACAGCACTGTGCTGCCTATGCTTACCCTCGCCACGGATCCCTGTCCCCGCTGTGGTGAGAGTAAGTGTGAATGCAGCGGACCAGCAGGCTCTACAGGGTAAAGGAGCAATGTGGAGAGTAAGGGCGGCAAGGAACAGCAGAGACATGTTTGTGTAATTTAAATTCACAATTAAATTGAGAGGATTCAGAGCCAAGATACCTTCCTGGTACTTAACAGCGCTTCACTGTCAGAAATACTAGAATCCAGGACTGTAAAACCCAAGTCTTAATGGGATAATATGGAATCTTAAAAAAGGGAAAGGGACAAAAATATAGAAAGGAAAATGTTGAACACAGCTGGATTTTTAACGTATTTTTATGTACTTTAAGCCAGTGTAAGAGCAGTACCTGCTGCACTCCACTCAAGAGAGAACGTCTCAGTACTGTATGAAAGGAACTGCAGATGCAGCAGCAAGTTAATACACAAAGCTACAAAAAGATCATTCCTTAGAGTAGTTAGCTGTTTTCTCTTTCCTGTTAAATGTTTTGTGCTGTACATGCTTCAGCCTGAAGCACTGAGCTTTGAAAGCACAGAACACAACAAATTAACCTCAGGGAAGAATAAGAACAAGAAAAACAAGATTGATTTAAAATAGGAAAAAAAAAGTTTCACTTATTAGAAATACAGCTACAGGACAGAGCAACTAAGATCTAAGTACTAGGCAAAACCTGATTTGACAGTCTCAACAAAAAATTAGTCAAAGCACATACAGAAATCCCACTGAGATCGGAAACAGGAAGATTAGAAGGAAGGTTCAAATGAGCCTCAATGCAAATCAATTTTCTGGATGGATCAAGCAGCAGGAAATGGGTTTTGTCTGGACAAACCACTGCTGCATTAAACGGAACTATAAACATGTCTTTTGTTCTTCTCAGAGTATGTAGGTTGCGTGCTTTATTTTTAAATAGTCTTGGAACTCTAAAGGTTTTTAAAATCTGGCTGACCCTGCACCATTTATCCAACTAGTGGAGCAGTCCCATGATATTCACTCCCCATATTTATATTAACAGCTTTCAGGATTTATCCCAGATTAAGCCAAATTTATAAAAGTTCTTTTACTTTGATTTCTATATAATCATCCTTTAGTGACGATCAAGAGCCATTACAACCCAGATAGTGGAGATGCAGTTCAAGAAACACACCATTTCCATGGCAGTTAGGGTGGGACTGTAGACCAACAAAAGAAAGATTCTTCAAATTTCTCACTCATTCTCCTTCACTACGTAGAGCTGTACAATGCAAAGCTGAACAAACAAGGGCTTGCTTACTCCACCACCATGTCTTCTTACCTAAATGCTATTATTCTCTTCCCATTTTACTATTTTACTATTATTCTCTTCCCATATTACTTCTTCAAGAACTAGTTACCATAATTTGTAATAAATTCATCAGTGTGCACTGAGCACAAAGGAGGAGAAGGGATTAGGAAGCAGGAAGTGCGACTGGGATGGCTAGGTCTTGGGCTCCACTGAGAGGAATATGCTTTTTTTAAATACTTGTACCTATTTTCAGTTATTTTACTCCTTAGTTTTCATCCAGACTTGAACAGAAGTGGCTGGTTTGGACCATGGTATCATTCACTCGGCCTACAGATAGCTGCGGAACTGTTAGTTTGCCTTGTTATTTCTTTGGTACAGAATTCAGATCTTGTTCAGGTGACAAGACAAGCAATGACATCAGCTTTCACCCTTTGCAAGTTCTGGCAATGATGTCCTTGCCCCCAATCACATCTTAAGGTGGTGGGGGAAAAAACAACACAATTATGGACATCAACAGCTGATTTCTCATTAAATGCTCTGAAATTTTAAATCAGGTCTAGAAACTTCTTGGCTTGATGAAAGCTACTTTAAAAAAAAAGTAAACAAGCAGAAATCATCTTTTTACTGAAAGAAAACCTTAATTATGAAAGCTCACACATACAGACTTACTGGTTCTTGTGTTTCCGCTTCATCCCAGGCTCCCCAGCCATCATCTTCCCAATTTGATGACTTGCCTGCTTTGAACAATAAGATTTTTTGTTATAAAAAGGAAATCATTTAAACACAGAACTGACAAAGAAATACCTAACTTGGATTGTCCAACTTCCCTATGCATCATAATTTAGTCAGACCTAGCTCTTCCAAGGCAACAGTAAAATGGAACTAGCATATACACCATGAAGCATCAGAAGCAAAATGCTATATTTCTCATGACAGTCACACTCATTTCTACATACAATGCTTCCCAAGTATACATTTAAATACAAGAGAAAGATGTGGTTTATGCACTGGATTAGGAGTAGAGTACATCTCAAGTTTTCATCTGTAGCTCTAAACAAGTCACTCAGTTTACAGAGCCTAGTACTGTGGTACATCAATTCCTCTTTGGTGGCTCCTCATCCTATGGTAAAAGACAACAAGCTAATCAGCTTCATTTTATCTCAGGTTCCCCACAAGCCACTTCAAGGAACACAAACAGGGTATTATGAAGATTAATTTGCTAATACTTGTGAAGCAACTTGAAGCTAAGAATGATTAGAAGCGATTACATAAAGGACTTGAAAAATCTACTTAAGTGATGAAACAGACATTCTCCCCAGTGAGAACAAAGCCTTAAGATACCAATACCAGCAGAATTTAAGAAAAATACATTTCTAGACTTTATTAGAGTTGCAAAGATGGAACTAGCTCTATATCATAAAGCCAACTAAAAAGGTACAAATGAAGTTGCATCCAGTTATCTTCAAGGCCTCCTGACTTTATTCAGAAGTGTTCACCTTCCTGCAAATAGTTTATTGCTAATCTGAAGAGTTATTGATTCATAAAAAAGTTCTTTTAAGGTAACAATGCCCTTCGGCCAAAATAATGCAGACTTTGATCATATTTATGAGGTTAAGCTAAAGCAGCACTGTCTTTAAGGATGCAGAAAGAGCAAAGGCACTTGGTACAGCTTAGAGCTTTGAAAAACAGCACAAGAGTAAAAAATAAATACTGTTGTATCGGTCAGTCTGTATTATGTTATTCAAAATCCTATGAGAATCCACAGAATAGGATAAAAAAAACATACATTTTCAAGCTGCTAATATTTAAAAATACGTATTTTTTAATAAGAAAGGATTGATGGCAAGACAGCAAAGACCTTTGTCTTTGGAACATGATTTCACCCTTAATCTTCTAGGCCTGTGAATATAAGGTCACAAAAGAGACCCTGTTCTGTCAGTTCTTTCAGAGATGGGGTAGGAAGGCTGACTAAAGTGTGACAGACAGTGAGTTCTAGGGATTGGGAGAGGGTTTTTACTCTTGGCACGTCTGATCATAACCATATGGATTAGTATCTGTGCTATTACTATTGGTAATCTGTGCAAGTATGCAAAACTAAAGTTTGACTCATTTCTAATCCATCAAAAGAGAATGTACAACATAAAACTATTTTTTGTAAAACATAAACAAAGAAAGAAGTTATTATTAAAAATTCTCTAGCATGCTTTAATCTGGTCTTCTCAGGCTGCTGCTTTCTAGTATCTTTTCTGATCTCCTTAAATGCCCCCAAAGCCATGCCTTTGAGAAAGGTAAAACTGCACTTAAACAGAGGATCCTTTCCTGTGCCCAGCCTCCAACAGGATACCAACACTGAGAAGAGGAATGTGTGCAGAAAAGGATTACAGAGTAGTACTAAATTCAATGTCTTGGCCTTGCTTGTAGCCACAAAAGACAGACAGACAAAAGAAATTCGAAAAAAAGAAAGGCCATTTCCTATATTTTTTTAGTTCTTTCTTTGAAAGCTGCTGGAAGGAGGTAACACATTTTAGTGGGTAAGGCAGGGACCTGGAGATTAAGATTTGAACTTTATCCCAAATTCAGACGTCGATGCAATAACACTACTCAGAAGTGATTTACTACCAGTTTGCCCACCTGAAAAAATGAGGTATTAATGTACCACTTCACAGAGGTATCAAAATGGTTAATCAATGTTTTTAAACATGCTGAGATTCTAGGATATGACGAAGAGCCAGAGATGCAAAATGTAATAGAAAATAAATTCCTGCATTCACATCAATGCATAAGCAAACAAAAATAAGGGGACAGTCTTGCACTGACTATTAAATTGGGCCCACACAAGCAGGGGTGTGCCTTTACATCAGCACAAATAGTAGTGGCAGAAATTTGCATTGCTACTTTGTGCCCCACCGCATGCCCCCGCCCATGTGCTCTGCAGCAGG